GCTCTACTAGCAGTTGAGGTGAGGTGAACAACTGCTAGTAGAGCACCTCACCCTCCCTGATTGAGCTAACCTCGTTATCTCCATACTGATTTATACCTGCCTCTGGAAATGTCCATTACTTGCATCTGAAGAAGTGAGGTTCTTACCCACGAAAGCTCATGCTCCCAATACTTCTGTTAGTCTTAAAGGTGCCACAGGACCCTCTGTTGCTTTTTACAGATTCAGACTAACACGGCTACCCCTCTGATACTATACACAGAGAGAGAGAGATGAATGTACCCCCCCCATATGAATGCAATAAAAGGTGGTGACTTCCAGAAAGTGCTGAGAGAGAGAGAGAGAGAGAGAGAGAGAGAGATGTAGGGTTAGAATGAACCTCAAGAGGTCATCTAGCCGAGCTCCCTGAGCTGAGGCAGAACCAAGTATACCTAGATGATCCCTGACAAGTGTTTGTTCAACCTGTTCTTAAAAGCCTCCAATGATGGGGATTCCATGACCTCCTTGGAAGCTTGTTCTAATACTTAACTATCCTTATAGTTAGAAATTCGTTTCTAATATATAACTTAAATCTCCCTTTTTGTAGATTAAGCTGATTACTTCTCATCCTACCTTCAGTGGACAAGATCACCATCCTTTTTATAACAGCCCTTAACATAGGCCTGGTCTACACCTACAACTTATGTCGACCTAGCTACATCACTGAGGGCTGTGAAAAATTTCATACCCTGTGCGATACAGTTAGGTTGACCTAACCCTCATTGTAAACACAACTAGGTCAAAGGAAGAATTCTTCTGTCAACCTAGCCACTGCTGTAGACACAGCTAGGTTGATGGAAGAATTCTTCCATCGACTTAACTACCACATGTGGGAGAGGTGGATTACCTGCATTGATGGAAAAACCCCTTCCACCAATGTAGGAAGCATCTACACCACAGCAGCACATCTGCAGCACCATAGCTGTGCTGCTGTAGTATAGACATATCCATATTTAAAGACTGTTATCAATCAGGTCCCCCCTCAATCTTTTTTTCTCAAGACCTCATAGGTCAGTTTGTCTAGACCTTTGATTACTTTTGTTGTTCTCCTCTGGACTCTCCAGTTTGTTCACTTCTTTCTTAAAGTGTGGTGCTCAGAACTGGACACAATACTCCAGCTGGGGCCTCACCAGTGCTGAGAAGAGTGGGACAATTACCTCCCTTGTCTTACATATAACACTCCTGTTTATTCATCCCAGAATGATATTAGACTTTTTTGCAATTGCATCACATTGTTAACCCCCAAATCCTTTTCAGCCTAACTAGTTATTCCCCATTTTGTAGTTGTGCATTTGTTTTTCCCTTCCTGAGTGTAGTATTTTGCACTTATCTTTATTTAATTTCATCTTGTTCATTTCAGACCAATTCTCCAATTTGCTAAGGTCACTTTGCATTTTAATCCTATCCTCCAAATCGATAGCAACCCCTCCCAGCCCCGTGTCATCCGCAAATTTTATAAGAATATTCTCCACTCCATTATCCAAGTCGTTACTGAAAATATTTAGTAGTTCCAGACCCAGGACAGATACACACCCCTCCGTTTGACAGCGAACCATTGATAACTACTCTTAATGTATGGTTTTTCAATCTAATTTATTCTAGATCACATTTCCTTAGTTTGCTTACGAGAATGTAATGCAGGACTATATCGAAAGCTTTACTAAAATCAAGATATATCCCATCTACTGCTATCCATTAGGTCAGTAACCCTGTCAAAGAGGAAATTACATTGGTTTGGCATGATTTGTTCTTGACAAATCCATGTTGACTGTTACTTACCACCCTACTATCCTCTAGGTGCTTACAAATTGCTTGTTCCAATATCTTCCCACAATTAAAGTTACGCTAACTGGTCTAATATTTGTTGGGTCTTCCTTTTCCTCCTTTTTAAATATGGGCCCTTCTCCGGTCCCCTGGGACTCACCTTCATGAGTTACCAAAGATAATCGCCAGTGTTTCCACGGTTGCTTCAGCTAGTTTCTTAGGTACCCTACAGTGAGTTTTATCAGACCCTGCTGACATGAATACATCTAACTTATCTAAACATCCTTTCCCTATTTTGGCTTTTATTCTTTTCCCCCTTATTAATATTAATTGTATTGATCATCTGGTCACAGTTTACCTTTTTAGTGAAGACTGAAGCAAAACAGGCATTAAATGCGTCACCCTTCTTGATATCATATGTTATTAGCACTCCTTCCCTGTTAAGTAGAGTACACTTTCCTTCATCTTTCTCTAGTTCCTGAAGTATTTATAGAACCTCCTTGTAGAGGAGCGGACTCACCCCTGCGGCACCTCCTGCTGGTCACTTCTGGGAATTAGCTCTTCCTAGAGTGCCCCCTGCAGGCTGGTGATCCACCTGTCCTCTGGCCCCCCGTGTCCCTCCCAGACACCGGTGCCCTTTGCTCTGGGTGCTGCCCCCTGGCAGTATCCACACACACTGGGTCTCCCCTCACAGGCAAACCCCCACCCACTAACCCCACTTCACCTCAGTACCAGGCCACTGCCAGTCACTATCAAGCCCCCGCTCCCTGGGGCAGACTGCAGTATAGGCCACTCATCACAGGCAAGGTTGGGTTTGGACCTGCTGCCTTGGCCTACCTCTGGGCTGCCCTCTGCAAACCCCAGTACCTTTGACCCAATGCTAGGCCCACAGCCTGGGGCTTTCCAGGCTGGAGCTCCCCAGCCTTTCCCCAGCCCTGCTCCACTCAGGTTCCCTGTCCCAAGCTCCCTGCAGCCAGGCCCTTCTCTCTGAATGCAGAGAGAGACTGGTTGGGCTCCTGGCTCCCAGCCTTCTTATACAGGCCAGCTGGGGCCTGATTGGGGCGTGGCCCAGCTGTGGCTACTTCCCCAATCAGCCCAGTAGCTTTTCCCTTTGCCCCAGCCCTCTGCCAGGGCTGTTTTAAACCCCTCAGGCAGGAGCGGGGTAACCACCCTGCTACACTCCTATTAGTGCCTTTTATGTCCCTGGCTAGGTATAACTCATTTTTGCCTTCACCTTTCTGATTTTGTCTTTACATGCGTATGCTATTCTTTTGTACTTATTGTCAGCAATTTGTGCATGATTCCACTTTTTGTAGGATTCCTTTTTGATTTTCAGTTAAAGAGCTCTTGATGAAGCCATATTGATCTCGTACCATTTTTCCAGTATTTAAATATATATATTTAAATATGCTAAAAGAATGCTTTATAGATTGAGTGTATTGATTAAAATTAGCATGTTTTTTCATGTGTAATCTTATTCTTACAGAGCTCTTGGAAAAGTCACTGGCCCTTTTAAACAAAAGCCATGAGCTGACTGAATTCATAGAAGAATTCAAATCTGATGGGTCTAATGTAAACCCTGAGTTGATTCAAGGAGCCCACAGCAGCTGCTTGAAAATTGGCAGTCTCCTTGAACTGCTACAAGACAGGAGAAGGCAACTGGACAAATATCTGAAGCAGCAACGCCAAGGACTAGAGCAGGTTCTGCAAATTTGTCATTGGCATCACCAAGAAAACCAGGTATGATATACAACACTTAGGCCAGCCACAGTAAAATCAGGACACTGTTATATGTGGTGGGGAGAGTTACAGGAGAAGGGGTTCCAGTGTATTTGGATGATAGTTTGCCTCACTGATTTGTTTACTTTGATTTATATTTTAAGCATGTCTCCCTACACAACCTTATTTCTGGCCTTTCCTAACTTTTGGCTGCTTGATTTTGCAACCTAAATGCTCTTTTAATGTAGTTGTTTTTTTTTAAATATAATTTTCTAAGTTAAAAAAACTGAACTCCCCCACAGAAATCCTATCATGTGGAATCATAGTGACCCCTATACACATGGATTATCCACAGGGTTCAGACCATTAGCTTCACTGCACTTACCTCTGTCACATGAGTTAATGGAGCAACTGGTGACTGCAGTAGACTATCATCTTCTTTGTGGACCAGTCAATAGAAGGAGAGAGAGAGATACTTTGCCAGTGGTTTCACAGCTATTTGCTAAAAGCAGAGGAATACAGAGACTCGGGACTCCTCAATTCAGTGCCAGCTTCTGGAGGGGAATGTGTTCTAGTGGTACTCTCCTGTCTCTGTGCATGCTGCCTGTCCCTTTCCCTTCTCTTGCAGTCAACCCACCTCCAGCTCCTATTTCCATCCCCCTCTGCACCTATCCAACTTCCTCCCCCCCACACCCCAGTTCTTGTCCTCCTCCCCCTCTGTGTCTATATACACCCAAGCCACTTCCTTTCTGCTCATCCTGCCTCCTCGGCTTCCTCCCCCCTTCTGTTTCTATCCTCCCACCCCTCTGCATTCAAATTAGGCAGGGCCAAGTCCTGCTCAACTCCCGCATCCCTGGGGTGGAGTTCGCTCAGTGAGGATGGAATCTTTGGGCAATGTGGCTGCCAAACTCTAACAAGTCTCTGAGTCTACTGAGTATTCTGCAAGCAGAGTTTTTTAAAGGCTTGGAACTTGGTCAAATTTGGGTGAATTTTCATAGGAGAAGCAAACAACACATCCTGATACCAGAGCAAGCTCCCTGCCAAATTGCAAACCCTTTCTCCAAAGCACAGGGGTGATAAAGCTTCACAGTAAAACAGTCATAAGACTTTTTTTTAAACATGGGCAAAAAAAGTATTTTTCCTGAATCTTGTTCCCTGGGCCTGTCTACACAGTGGGGTTTATTTCACACTAACTGCAGTTTTTTCCAGTTAAAATGGGCTCACATTCACCCAATGTGACTCTTTTTCTGCATCAAGTGGCCAATTAATATGAACTGGATAATCCACTTTGAAAATGGATTAGGTTCATTTCAGAATGAGTTTGTCCAGAAAAAGGAAGCATCTGTATTTCGCATTAACTTTTCAGTCCTCCCACACTGCATTGCTTCACACTAGGACTGCCCTGTCTGTTTACCTGTGTGCCCTCTAGTGCTCTGGGGTCATGTTGGCCAGATGTCACCGCCCTGTTTAAATGCTGGCACACAAGTAGGAGGTCCCTATTTGCAATTACACGGTACTGGAGCTGTATATCCTTTTCAGTGTAATCAGCATTGTACGGTAGCAGCCATGTCTGGTGGTGCTGCGGTGCAGAAGTCATGGATTTCCTTGCTATCTGGGGTGAGGAGATGGTCCACTCCTGTCTTAACAGCAGCTGCCATAATGCAAAAGTACATGAGCATATAGCAAAGTATATGACCAAGAGAGGTCACTCTCAGGACACAGCTCAATGCCGTTGCAAAGGAAAGGACCTTTGGCAGGCTTATAAAAAAGACCAAGAGCAAAAACAGGACTTCTGGCAGTGCTCCACTACTTTGAGGAGCTGGATTGGATTTTTGTCAGGAAGGCCACCACCGAGCCCCAGTATGTTCTGGAAAGTGCTGAAAGCACCAAGGAGGACCCCGACCAGGACTCTGATGAGGAGATTTCGCCTGAAGGCCAGGGGAAATCTAAGAGCCGGAGCCAGACCCAGAGAAACAGACAGCACCTGAAACCCAGATGGACTCCCAGCATGATAGTGCTGAGAAGGGGACCTCTGCCAGTAAGTATTATGTGCAACATTACTATAAAACTGTATAAATCATTTTAGCAAATGCTTGGCCCAAGTGCCTGATGGACATGGCCATTTTGGGCCAATGTGAGCTAGGAGCCTTTCCGAGCCTGCTCAGCTTTACCCCGGCTCCCAGCATGCTCAAGACGGTGGCCACATGGGGAATTCCAGCTCTGCAGGGATTGGTTCCCTGATATTTTCATTTCCCACTGCCCACTACCATGCTCGCATCTACCCCCCCAACCTCCCTTCCATTCCCCATCAACCACCACAGGTGAGGGGAACATTTTGTCCCCATTGCCTTGATTAAACCAGTGGTGCCACAGTAGTTTTCTAAAACAACATTGTAGTGTAGCCATGTTTACTGAAACATCAGTTTCAGAAAAAATATGGTATAAAAATACTGTTTTTCACAATGCCCTGAGCTTTCCACTATCTTAGCATTTTATGAGGTATATTTCCCAAAGACAGAGACACTAAATCACAGAGATTGTAAGGCACTCAGCTAGTTGTAATCAGACTCTCAACATCATTAAGCCCTCAGGTTCAGAACACATACAGCAGAGCGGTACTTATTTAGCAGTGCATTTTGTGTATCGAGTGCAGGTAACAGAAAACAGAATTTAAGGCAAAGATAATGCTCTAATTTGGCACAAACACTGCAAGACACAGCAGCCTTCTCAGGGCTACCTTTATAGGTAGAGTGTCCCTTCCCGTCCTGCAGCACTTCTGGAGGGACCATTCTGGGAATAACATCACTGCATATCTTCCGTCTGCCTGTTCCCCTTTTGAATAAGCCACTTCACTGCTTCTTGGTGACTCAGATCAGAGGAACATCTTCCAATGTAAGGACTGCCTGCATAGTTGCCCATGCAATTACTAACCTGCCCCCCGCAAACCCTCACCCACCCACCTACCTCCCAAGCCCTCCAGCCCATCCAACCCCCAAAATCCTTCTGCCTAACTCAGGTGAAGTCCAAGCCCAAACCTCCAAACCCTGCTGCCAGTCACCAGCCATGCACCATACCAGCAGCCTTGGATTAGAACAGGGTTCCTAGGCAAAGAGCAAGTAATGTGGAAATGTCTTAACATTTGCCCCCAGACTGGGAAGCGATTATGGGAATGGCATTGCAAAACTGAGGACAGAGTAATTTCATCATTGCTGCCCTGGAGACCTGAATTAATTCAGTAACTGCTTTTTCTGTTTGTCAGCTACCCTGGCTTCTGTACGTGACACCCTGCAGCCACTAAGAACAGAACCCTTATTAACTGCAGAGTGCCTGACTAATCTCCAGGGCAGGAAAAGGAAGACCAAAGATGAAATGTTTGGGGACCTTGAGACAGCATCCCAGAAGAGGGATAAAAAAAGAGAGGAGTGGAGAGAAGTTCTCCTTGTGGAGAGGCGGAAGAACAGAGAATTGGCAAGAGACCCCATCAAGCATGACACGGACATGCAGAAACAGCTCCTGAAGCCAATGCAAAACCAGACTGTCTTGATGAAGAACATTTTGGGACAATGTTCTGCCATCGCACCACAACCCCAACTGCCTTGTTCTGTTCATTCCCCCTGAAGCATCTGGCACTGGCCACTGTCAGAAGATAGGCTACTGGGCTAGATGGACCGTTGTTTTGACATAGTATGTCCAGTCAAGCCATGTCCTGTAGCCCATGGAGAACAATGGATACTAGGAGCAGCAGTACATTCTTAATGCTCCTGCTACAGGTAGTTCTCTGAAGACAGTGAATTCTGGGATCCCTCCTTCATCCCTACAATAACAAATTATAGTTTCTTCTGGCACCATTCTACATCTCCGTACAGAGGCAACAGTCAGAAATCCTGCATGTACACATGCTTGTGAGCAGTACAGCACATATATGTGTACTCCACACTGTATGGCATGGGCTGACATCTTCACTGTAATCTGGTCTAACGTTTGCACTAGTTTATGTAACAATGGATAAAAGTTTGCACAGTTTTGTTCAATCCATGATTTTTATATTGGCATGATTTGATCAATACAGGTTATTTTTGACAAGATGTACCAGAGTTTCATAAAATACACGTCCCAGAGACCAAATAAAATGTCCTCTCCAAAAATCATTGCACAAAGCATTTTTAAAAAGCAAAATACACTTCTGTTTCACTAAATTCATACACATAGAGTAAAGAAATCCAGGTACAATGTGTAATTAAATTACATTGCCACATTGCAGCTTTTAGCCTCAAAGTAGGAGCATGGGGGATCCTGATCCTATGGCCCTGATGATTTGCTTCAGTTTTCAGAGAAAGCCTTTCTGGCTGATCACAGCATTCAGCAAGTCTCTGCACTTCTGCCCTCTACCCACTGATGAGGCTCTTGCCCTTGCTCTCACAGAAGTTGGGCAAAATACAGCAAGAAGGTATCCCATCAGGTAGATATTTCTCAGCAGCCTCCAGCCTCATCATGAGACAACTCCATCTCCCTTAAAAATGCATACTCCACTGTCATTCTACAGCTGCTCAGGGTCTGTAGTTGAACAGGTCCTTCCTCTTGTCCAAGTGTCCAGTAAATGGCTTCATAAGCCAGGGAAGCAGACAGTAAGCTGTGTCTCATAGAATGACAGAAGGAATGACAGTACCATTTATATCCATAGTAGCAAATTTTCCATATTTCATTAAAGACAACAGATGTGAGTTTCAAAAGATCCTAGCAACTTGGACCTTTTCAAGACCACCCCACATTAACACTGATGAATCTTCTAGGGCCTAGAATCTAGGCCTTGGAGCTCCATGGAGATGCACCCCTTTCTGCTGATGAACTCTGAGGCCTGAGGTGTGTGTAAAGAATAGGCACATGGGTTTCATCAATGGCTCCAATACAATTCAGAAATTCCAGCTGTGCAAATCTACCAATAGCCTCCTGTGCTTTGCCAAACATTGACCCATGCTAGCAGCACCTTTGTAGCAGCACACTGCTCCATGACAACAGCCTGG